TGCTGCTGCTGCTGCTGCAACATCTGCTGTACTGTTCCCCGTGCTGCTCCTCAAACAAATATTTTGAGGTATGTGTTGCACAAGAAGGCTATCGCGCGAAACAGACCCGGTCTCCTTCAAAAAATATGCACAATGTACACGTCCCTTGATCCTGAAGCTGTCTTACATTCACGCTCCTACTGCTACCCAACATCAGCACGCGAATCCCAGCCGATTAAGCATAAGACTCATCAGAGGCGGAAAGCAAGAAATTTGACAGGCTTCTTCCCCCATCCAGTACCACTGTTACTCGACAGCAGAAGCAACCCCTTTTCGCTAACAAGAATTGCAAATCACTGACCGCTGGTCAGTAGAAACGGCAGGAAGGATGAGTAAGTCTGACCGTTCTGTTTGCCCATTCACATTTACAAGCTTTTTATGAGTATTATAACCATCCAGTGGGTGGTTGTGTTTCAGACACAACCCAGCCAATCTCGCAGATTCTCACCATCAAAATGCATGTTTGGTAAAAGCCATTTCAAGTACTAAGAGTAAAAAATAAGCAATAATAATTTTAGCAAGCTTTTAATACAACTCAAAATTTGCAGTAAATTCAGTACTGAAAGCAAACACTCTTTTCAGTCGTATTTCATCCATGCTATTATACGTCCAGTAGTCACAGTTTCTTGGATGCAAAAAAATTGAAAAAATCAAAAAAATTTCACTACAGAATCTCGAATGCTGTGAAAAAATTATCCAAGCGGGATCTACCTGGTTGCATCGCATTCTCCCGCCAGAACCCAAACGAATTAATGCAAAAAATAAACAATAGAAATAGGCAAGAAATAAACACTCAACGCGAGTGACTTTACACACATACGCACATACATACCTGCACTGATATTACACACATACACTCCGAGGCAAGGGGAATATTACCACACACACACACACATACACATATTCCAGTTGTCAGGATGATAACAGTGTGCCTCTAACGATTCCACTCCTCCGCAAGAACGCCGCAGTCCATCCAAAATTTATAATAATCGATTGAAATCTCGAATTTCAGCACTAATCGCATCAAAAATGCTGTTACTGCCAACGGTGGGAGGGAGAAGTGGCAGCAGACGAGGGAAATGAAGCGGAAGGAAGCAGATGTCTCCGTTTCCCCAAGAAGCTGATGATAGTTCCTCCTCCAAAAAATCTTAAAAATTTTAAATTTCTTCATTACATGTTACATTTTCAATTAATTATTCGATCAAGAAGTGTTTTTCGCAAGGTTGTTCAAAAAAAAAATTTGTACAGAACGTCTCTTGCTAAAAATTTGTAGAACTACTCTCCTCAAGTAATCCTGTCTGTACTGCTACTGTTCAGAAAGACTGCGAGAAGATACAACAGGTGCCTAATCCAGTAGGCTATAGGGAAAGCGAAAAAATTTCATAAAAAGTGTATGGTGGCACATTCGAAGACGTAATGC